GAAATGGCAAACTCCAGGTTCTGTGGAGAGCACAAGGAAGACACCCACTATCAAACTTGCCTTCACAAGCACCTGAACACACATACATACACAAACATAAATTTGTGATTTCCAGTAAATGTTCAGTTTGCAGATTTCATGTTCTATACATCCAGGACATGAATTCATCTGAAGAGGGTTTGTAGAAAGGAAAGTTCAATCCATGTGAGCCTGTCGTGGTGGTACATGCTTTTAAGCCCAGTAGAGGCAGGTGGATCTCTGTAAATTTGAGGCCATCCTGCTCTACATAGTGAGTTCCAGGACAGACAGGGCTAAGCAGAGAGACTCTGTCTCAAATAGCCTTAAAAAAAAAAGACAGAGAGAGAGAGAGAAAGCTGTGACAGACTCGGAGTAGACTGGCCTCATCTCTGATTCGGTAATCCTTCCAAAATGCATTAGTCAGTTTTTTGCTAACAAAAGTGTTCCTCTTTTATCTTAGTTTTATGTAAATCAGACTGCCCTCCAGTTTACTCTGCAGTCTAGGATGTCCTTGAACTCCTGATCCTCCTGCCTCTGCACCCTCTACAATGCCAGGATTGTAAGCATGCATCTCCAGCCTGCTTTAGTTTTGTTTGTTCACTTTGAGACAGGGTCCTACTGTGAAAGCCAGGCTTCCCTTGAATTCTCATCCTTCCGTCTATGTCACTCCAGCTCCTGGCTTAACTGCCTCATTTCTTAAACTCTTGATGACCTAAAATGTGCAAAGTAAAGCATATCTTGTTAAGGCAGGCCCTTTGAATGGCCTCTGCCACCCCTTCAGCTTCACATACTGTTCTTTTTGGCTTTTACCAAAAGTTCAGTTCAAATACTTCCTGGAAGATGCCTCCCAGGACACAGTTTGGAGTAGATGTGCCTAGCCTCTCATCTCAAAAGCCCACTTTCTGCTGGTTCTTTGACTCATATTCCTGCTACAAGTAGGAACCAACTGATTTATTAGTTTTTTTTTTCTAGTGTATAAAACACCTAGTGTCCCATGTACAGCATGGACTGAGCCTGGAAGGGGGCTTGCAAAGGCTCTTGAGAACCAGCCAAGGCCTCTGCACTTTATGTGGAGAACCATGAAGGAGTCGGATTATCAAGAGCCAAGATGGGGGGGGGGGGGATACTGTAGAGAAGGACAGGTGAAAAGTTAAAGGAAACAGGCAGCTGTTAACACTGTTGTATAGGACATCTAGCAAGTGTCAGAGCTAGACCACAACTCTGGACCATGCTGAGTCCAGAGACCTCTGTGTGTTATACAAGCATTTTAAACAATCAGAGCTTCAAGACTGAGTGACAAAGGTACCACCTGGCCAGTATAGGATAGTTACAGTGCAGGTCTCATTTCTGTTCACGAACTTCCCCAGAGGTGGCTTAGCAAGCCAGACTGCTTTAAATTCATGTGTATGGGTGTTTTGCCTGCGGAGGCCAGAAGAGGGCATCAGACCTCTCTCCACCCTCCCACCCCCACCCACGCCGCTTCAATCCATCCCACTTCATCCTGACATGCTCAAGATAGGGAGAGGCAGGGCCTACCCAATATCCAGAAGGGACATAGGTTACAGCAGCTCATTCGTCCATTGGCCAGAACCAGCTCCAAGACCCCACTGAACTGCACAGGGCCTGGGAAAACACCAGAGAGAGGGAACAGAAAGGCTTTGTGAGCAGCAGGAAGGCTAACCCAGCCTAGGAAGAGGTGGCAGACAGCTGGAAGCAGAGGGGCGATGCACCGAGCAGAGAGGTTTTGCTAAGGATTTGGGTTGTGAGGTCACTGTGGAGAAGAGTCCTTCCCACAGGCATGGATCTTACCTGTAGGTTCTCCCTGGAGCAATGTCTGGAGAAGTTAGGGAATTATACTGCTGGAGATGACCTCATTCAAATGGCAGCTAGCAGGCCACTGGTCCCTGGCGTGTGGGCTTTCCACAGGGCTGGTATACAGCATTCAAGAGAAGCAGAAGCCACCCTTCCCATTTGAAAGCACATAGCATTACTTGCCTTTTTTTATTGGTCACTCTGTGGGAATAAGGCAGAGACAGTGGGAAGCCACTGTGGAAGGACAGTGATATCTTTTTCTTTCAGAGGTCCCTAGGACCTTGACTTCTGATCTTCCTACCTATACCCAGAATGTGTGCTACCATGCCTGCTTTTACGTGTTACTGGAGACTGAACTAGGCAAAGCACTCTGTCAACTGAGCTACAGCCCCAGCCTAGAGAACAATATCCTATTAACCCTTTCTTGATCAGGACATCAATTCTTTGCCACTGTTGAGGGAGAAGTGAGGTGAAATCCAGTGACCTTGTGAGAAAGGCAAGCCGACACAGATGCTAAGTATTTTGCAATATGGAAATCTGAGGCTGGAGGACATTCTGTGCCTTGCCTGACCTGACTTCTGTCCTCTCACAACAGCCCTATCAAGAGACTGCATCATTGGAAGCATTTGTAGGGCAGCCTTTGCCACTGAGCAAAGACCCCCCCTCACTCATTCTGCTGCTTCAGCACATGACAGACGAGGTGTAGAGCAGTGTTGTCAGGCTTCCACAGTTGCTGCATCTGCCAGGAAGAGCATGGTCCTGAGCCAGAGGGACACTGGTGCATTGTGAAAGTGGGCTCCATCTGTTTAACTGTGCCGACGGAAGTCTGGACCTGACCCTAGAAACATTTGTTTCTCCTGTGTTGCGGGATTGATCTCTCAAGGCTTCAGCCACAGTGCTGGGGCTGCCTCTGGCCTTAAGATGCCTTAGAAGCCTGGCATCATGGCCTCTTCCAGATCCTCACTCACTTTGTCAGGGACACCAGGTCTGCCTTCCCCTACTCGCCGCACCAAAGAAATGAAAACCCAAACTGAGGTATCAGAAACATGTTCTGTTTTTTTTCTTTTAATAGTAAACCTCTTTACAACAAATATAGTGAAAGAGTTTTCAAACCAAACTCGTAAGAATCTCGAGGACTTTGTCTCTTCTTAATGTGCAGAATACTAGAAAGCATCACCGTACAGCACGGAAAGAAATAATGAAAACAAATCAACAGCCACACCCTTGGACTCACCCTGCCCCAAGACCCAGGAGCCAGGAGTGTGGGTGATTGTCAAGTTTGGAAATAGGTCACCTCTTGGCTGGCCCCACCCCTCCCTTCTTCCCTCTCTGGGACTTGAATGGGGTAGAGAATTCAGATTCTCCTTGGGAATCTCAGCCCTCCTGCCCCATTAAACGTCATCCCTTCTGTTTAAGCAGGAGGCAGAAAGGGGTAGAATATGGAGCCCCCAGCCTCCAGATGAGCCTACATTCCCCCACAGGGGGTTCCAGAGTCAGTTAAAAATATAGAGAGATTTTTAGATACTTTTACATCATTTCTCTCTCTCCAAACAAATAAATAATCAGCAAGAGAAGGTGCATTTCTTTCTTCCTGTCCAAGTTCAGGGGAGGAACGGGTGGGTTCACTGCCAAGGGGTAGAGGGGATGTGTTCCACTGAGGCATGTGGAGGTGGCCCTCAGTCACACTATCCCTGAAAGCTGAGGGAAACCTGGGTGGGAAGGGCACTGGATGACGCCAGAGGCTACTTTGGCAAATACCCAGTTTTTCAGAGGGAGTGGATAGGAGGCAAATTTGGCTTGTGAGAGAAAGAAAATAAGTCCCCATTTGAGGTCTGGGTTCCCAGGGATCCATTTACCTGGCCAGCCAGAAGCCCCTACATAGCCCCAGGAGAAACCTGGAGATACTGAACTGCAGAAGAGAAAAGTCACACATTCATTCACAGACTGGCCCTACTGTCAGGGACAGAGATGGACACACACACACACACACACACACACACACACACGTATGCGCACACTTGTCCATGGCAATCAGAAGCCAGGTTTGCTTTCGGGAAGCAGATGGCAAACTGTAGAGTGTTCTATAGGGGCCTCACCCCCAGCTGTGTGTAATGGTGGCCAATGAGCCTAGAAGGATGGGCCTGAGAGGCCAGTGATTCCACATTTATTGAGCACCTGTCATTCACCCATTCAACATTTATTGAGGGCCTACAATGCGCCAGCTACTTCAAGGGGAGCTTATGTGCACACGGCTAAGGCTTCTTTCAAGGCCTTAAGCAGGTCTCAAAACTCCCTCTAGGAACTGTGAGGAGGAATGGGAAGGTGGGGGCACTGGGTGGCACCCTTGCCTGGTTTAGCTTCTGGGGTAAAACTGTGGGTAAGGAAGAGCTACCAGGAGGAAGAGGAACTTGAGTTTGCTCCACAAACAAGTCAGAACTTCAGGGATGGAACTGTGACTGGGTGGGACCAGTGGACAGCCATCTGGAGGCAGAGCTCTGAAAGTGAAGCTCTGGCAGAGGTAGGCTGTGGGGAGAAGCAGGAAGGCCAACTAGCAACCCCCTAAAACTTTTAGTACAAATGTTGCAGGGCTGAGAGCAGCCCAGGGAAAAGGGGAGTGAGGCCACAGAGTTGGAAGCTGCCTATCCCTTGTAAACACAGCCAGCCGCACAGACACAGAGGCCCCTGGAGCTTGAGTCACTCAAAGGTACATCCACGCAGCTGCACACCAACACATAAATATAGGGTGCGCCCAGATACGCCCCCACGAGCATGCTCACACCCCTCTGCTTCTGGTTCCCTCCCTGCATCAAGTGTCAAAATACTACAAAAGGCTGGCTCACAGGTGGGCAAAGACCATCTCACTAAAACACTGAGCCTTGTCTAACTCTCCCCTCCAGCTGGGAGGAAGCCCCAAGGGAGAATGTGCTGTCCCCCATCCCCCTTCCCTGGGTGGGGAGGCAAGGAATGGGGAGGGGTGGTGATAGAGAACAGGCTGGGGATGGGGAGAGCAGTCTATCCCTCCAGTTTGATCTCAGATCCAGCAAGAGGTCCAAGGACCCAGTGCTTCCATTCCCCCAGGGTGCTTACTGCAGCCACAGAGGAGGCAACAAAGCATGAGTCTGGGAGAGGAAGGCAAGAACACAGCAGAAGAATCTCATCTGTACAGTACGGGCCATTTGAGTCATTATTATTACAATATACTTTGACAAAAATAGAATCTCATTTCATATCAATACAACAACAACAACAAACACAACAGTTTCCTGGACTGTTACACCACTAACATTTTGAAAGGTCTCTATTTACAATTACAGTAGCAAGAGGGCAGGTTTGGGATGTGGCCTGGAGGTGGAGGGACAGGAGGTAGCGAGACAAGGAGCACGCAAAGAGCTGGGAGGTGGGTCAGGGGCAGGAACTAGGAGGCAAGGGAAAGGCCTCAGCGGCCTCGTCTATAGGAACCTCTAGCTCCACAGGCCATGCCATGTGCCCAGTGTGCACTCTTCTGGGTATGGGTGTGCAAAGCGAGAGGTGCCCTCCCCATGCCTGCCCCTGACAGGACTCCTGCCCTCAGCACCCCAGGGAAGCAAAGGCTGACTCTGGGCCCACCCTGGAGCCACTTCACAGAAGGTCTCTCCCAACTTTCCCAGTACATGGCCAGCTTTCTAGAATTGGGGTGAAGGGATGGGGAGCTATTGCACTGTACATCTTAAAGGAAAAGCTGGGGGTAGGGTCCCAATTCACCAAACCCAGACCTTCTGCCCTCATCAGCCCTCTTCCTACAGCTGTCTCTCTTCCATGTTACCTCTAGAGCTTCCAACCTCAAGCTCCTGCCCTGGCCCGGAGTCCTAGGCAGCCTTCATAGCACCCAGATCTTGGGGTGCGGCACACAGATCAGTGAGTGTGGTGTGTATGCAGGAAGCTGGAGGGACCAGGATGGGTATTAGCCACGAACAGCCCAGAAGCAGAAACTCTGCCTCCTCCTATCCCCTGAGACACAAGCCCATCATCAAACCAGCTTTGGGGTTTCAGTCCACTGTCTGGGTTCTGCTGTTGGGTAGTTTTTGGTTCTTTACGTCTATCTGGAAATGGGATGGGAGGGCTTCACATGCAGGGCTCGGCACCTGTCCTTCTCCAAGGCCTACCGCGCCCCCCCCTTCCTGCAGCATATGTGTACAACGTGCAAAGTGTCCCCCCCTTCCCGCAATAAAGAGAGTCCCCCACCAGTGAAAATGGCGGGGGCAAGAAAGGGGCAAGAGCATCCCTCTCTCTAAAGCGAGATTTCAAATTTAAAAATATAATAATAATAATAATAATAATAATAATAATAATAATAATATAATTATACACAAATGTAACCATCAACAGGACATGGAGCAGAAGAAAGGAAGTAGGGGTCGAGCGGGAGGAGCCCAGGACAGGGAGGGGTGGGCGGTGAGATTGTCAACTCTTCATCAGTGAGGCTGAGAGGAGGGAGAGGGAACCGTCACTTTAATGTCTGTGAAGAGAGGAGATGGAGAAGGTGGTGTGAGGGGCAGCTCGGCCTACGGGATGCACCCCAACCCTCTCCCAAGGGGTAAAACTCTAGGGCAAGGCCAGCTGGAGGTCACTGAGCAGGGTCAATGCTGCAAGGAGGGGTTCAAGGGCTGTGAGTACTGACTCAAAGGAATGCCAGCCACAAGACGTCTCAGGTGGGAAAAAACAAGGCTGAGTGCATGTGGGGCATTCCTGGGCGAGGCAGACACCGGCAGACAGAGGGCAGTATTACAGTACCCAGGCATCCAGCCGCATCCTCTTCACAGCTGAGCCCTCAGCCTCAGGCTCTGGGGCCGGGCGCAGCAGGCCTAGTGTGGGCCCAAAGTCCCCCCGTCCATCATCCCGGTCCCCGGTCTCATAGGATCCTCCAGCTGGGCTGCTGAGACCTTCGCCAGGCTCAGGGCGGGCAGCTGGGAACACAGCTGGTGCAGGAGGTGCAGGGCTGCGTTCACGGCTTGGGGATACTGGTTCTGACTTGATGCTGATGTGGGGGTGGGTGGTGACAGTGAGAGCAGCACCCACATGGGGCAAGGGGCTGCCTGGGCTGGAGTTCAGACACAAGAGGCAGTAACAGAAAGAGTGGGAAGAAGTCACCAGACAAAGGGCAAAAACAGAACAGAATGAGAGTTGGGAGTTGGGAGAAGAGGGAGACACGTGTCAAAGGGAAAGAAGAGAAATGAGTGTTAGCTCTAGTCTGTCCACACCATTCTGTTCACACCATCTTCCAAAGCCCACACCCTCAGCCCTGCTGGGTGGGAGGAGGGGCTCATGACTGTCACTGAACACACACACACAACTCCAAAGAAACCTTCTGTCCCTTACTCCCCTCCATCCCCATGGAAAGCCTCCCAAAGACTCACATGAGGTTGCTGAGAGATACGGGGACCAAGTGGGGCTGTTGCTGAGGTGGTTGCTGTGGCTGTGGCTGTGGCGGCTGTGGCTGTGACTGTGGCGGCTGTGGCGGCTGTGGCGGCTGTGGCTGCTGGGGCTGCTGCCAGGCAGTGACATTGCCTAGTGCCAGCCCTGCAGGTGAGCTGAAGGCTGGTAAGGAGGACAGCTCTGCACTGGGCAGCTGGTAATCTGCAGCAAGAGAAAATGAGGGGAGCCTGAGTGGGGAGCACTCACCCACCCCTTTGGGGAGGGCAGGTGGTGTCTAGCCACAGATGTGAAGAATGAAGAAATTCCTGAAAATGACACTCAGAGATGTATGAACCTAATAATCACAAGATACTGTTTTTTCTAACAAAGTGAAAGGACAAGTGATTTTTAAAATAGCATCAGTTTTAAAAATCAATCATGTATAAGTATTGCTTTTATAAGGACAGTTACAAAAAAGAAATGAGGATGGGAAGTGGGGAAGGCCCAGTTTTGATCTGACTGCCATCTCTTCACTTGCCCAGCTTCCGGCAGTGGAGAGGCAGCAGGGAGCGCCGGCAACTCCAGGCTGATGGGAAGCACGTGGCCACTCTACCTTCTGCCCTGGCCCCACATGTCTAGACTCTCCCTAAACAGGGCTCAAGCAGCTGCTCCCACAGACACTCGGAAGAAATGGGTCTGACATCCAGTCTTCACGTCCCTGAAGCAGAAAGGGGCTTCAGGGCCTAAGCTAGGGACACCAGTGGGAGACTGCATTATGGGGGTACTTGTTCTGTCCAAGCACTAATCTTAAGGAAGATACTGTTAACAAGTGTCCTGCTAAGCACCTCACTATTCATACAGCTCTAGTATGCATGCCTCATGCTGTACCCTGTTTGAGGGAGAAATGCCTTCCCCAAGAGCCACAGGGCTGTGTGCACAGTGGGAGGACATGCTAGAAAGAGGTGCACTGTCCAGTCAACCAGCCTATGCTCAATAGTGAATGCACAGCCACTTGTTGTAGCCCTGTTTGTGTATGAAGATGTTCTCGGCAAGCTCCACCACAGACTTCGACCCTGGGCAAGTGCTGACTGTCTATAGCAGGGGCAGCAGTCCTTCCTACAGCAGTCACTAAGGTCAAGAAAGTGTGCAAAAGGCAGGTAGGATACAATAGCATCAGGCTCCAAGTGAACACTCCAAGACTTACCAAGCCCCACTGCTCACATGAGACAGATGCAGCCTCAGGTTTGAGGAGCTGCACTCACAGGAAAAGCTGGGCTAATGGCAGCACTCATGAGAGCCCTGGATGCGTCATTACTTTTATTTATTGTTTTTCTGCAGTGCAGGGGATACAAGGCAGGTCTTGCACATGCCAGGCAAACACTCACCACTGCACCCAGCCCTCTCCACTATTTTTTTTTTTTTTTTTTTTTTTTTGAGAGAGGGTCTCACGATGTAGACTTGCCTGACCTGGAATGAAATATGCAGGCCAGACTGGCCTTAAACTCACAGAGATCTGCCTGCCTCTGCCTCCTGAGTACTGGGATTAAAGGTGTGCACCACAATGCCAGCTTTCCCCATTACCTTTAAACCTCGCTCTAGGCTTGTCAACACCAGTTACCAGTTTTATTTATTTGTTTGTTTACATTTGTTTCTGTTTACTTATTTTTAAAGGTCTTTTCCCCCTACAATTGAAAACAAGTATTTATTTTTATATGCATTGGGGTTTTGCCTGCATGTATGTCTATGTAAGGGTGTCAGATCTCCTGGAACTGGATATGAGTGCTAGGAGCTGAACCCTGGTTCTCTGGAAGCGCAGCCAGTGCTCTTAACCGCTCAGCCATTTCTCCAGCTCCCTGGTTACTGGTTTTAATAAGTAGTACAAGAGCAGAATGTGGGCTCTAGGACTAACTATATCCAATGCTTATTAAACAAACAAACAAAAACAAAACAAAAAAAAAAAACAGGCCCAGAACAGGGCAGTGCTTTGCCAGAGAACCTCAGGGAGAGATCAGAACCCAGCTCTTAGTCTTGCCCCAACCCAGCACACTAGCTCTATACTGGGAGGCCTATTTCCTGAGGGCCAAGAGGTCAACCCCTGAGGCCACCTTGCCACCTCCTCAAGCTGTTCTCGTAGTGACCGCAGACAGACTTCTAGAGCTATCGTCCACAAGGGTAGGTCCATCTCTTAACAGGATACTACCACATAGACCACCCAACAGCTGTTGGGGTTTGGCTCACAGACGGGCTCTCCATAAACATCTGCTGTTGACAGAAGTCTGCTTGGTTATTCCTGTGGCAGTAGGAACTGGGGCAAAGCTGCTTTTACACACTCGTGACACAAGGAGTCCATGGCCATCTCTGCTGAGAGCCTGTTTCAGGTTCACTGACCCAAACTAACTTCTCTCCTGCTTCATAAGCCTGAGTGGGAAAAGTGCAGAGAGCTTGGTAGGATTCCCAAACAAGCAAAGCTTCTGAGGAGATCCAAGCTGTGTCCAGACCATTCTCCCATCATAAGTTGGTTTTTCTCGTTGGCCTTCGGAGTAGGGATAGGCTGGAAGAACCTCATGGTCCTCCTATCCACCTGTTTCCTGACATAGGCTGCCTCATCTAAGCAGTCCTTTCTCAGCCTCAGGATGCAATTACTTGGGAGTAGGTCTGTATGTGAGGTACTCAAGGAACAGGGACCAGAGACACTGAAGCAGGAAAATCTGCCCAGACTCCTCAATAGCCTGCCCCTGCAGAAGCATGGAATAGGCTGTTGCCTGCCACTCAGGATTTCTCAGAGTCTGACTGTAACATTAGCTTTAGGTGGACTTGGGGAGGTGAAGGAGTTTGGGGTCTTCTAGTCTAGTTTACTTTCACCGTAGGAACAGCCTGAACATAGGTCACTCAGGTGTCAGGGCTGAGGTGGGAAATAGATGACAAAGGTCTCCTCATTGGGAAAGAGCTTACTGTCACAAAAAGCTCTGAATCTCCCCACCAGTAAGTCCTTCCTGACAGACACAGCAGTCTAAATGCAGGCAAGGATGGCTGAAGGAATCACACACTGTTCTGGGGAGGGCGTGAGAGGCTGGCACAGCTATGCCAGCTTGCACTGTATGTCTGACTTCAGTTCTACTACCTAAGGGCTTCCCCATGTCCCCAGGTAACTGTTCACCTTTAGTCCCATCCAGCCTTCGCCAGGCTTCTCCCAGCTCCCACGCATTGCTGCAGTGGCCATCCCTGCTCAGGAGAGTAGCAAATCCACTGCACCCCAGCCTCTTTCCTTACTCCATCTTCCCCTCCAGGAATGCTGCACTGGCCATGTTCCCTCCCCAGTCCCCGAACCATAAGCCTATTAGCCTGGTGCTCAGCCCACCTCTATCCTGCACCCTCAAGCTGGACAGGGTTACTCTTCCACAAGGACCTATGTTAAAAATAATTTTTTCATATAAACAATGAATTAGAAAAAGCCTAAGTATGTCTTTGGGATATACTTTAGCACAAAGAATGCCTTTGGGATATACTGAAGACTGAAAAAGTACTTGCTTTATCTGAAGTTCAAATTTACCTAAGAATTTTGTTATTTTTCTGTTTATAAATTTTTAAAAAACATTTAATTTGTGTTTGTGTATATGTGTTTACGCCACATGTGTGTAGGTGCCTTTAAGAAGCCAAAATAGAGTATTGGATTCCTTGGAGCTGGTATTACAAGTAGCTGTGAGTAACCCAATGTGGGCACTAGGAATTGAACCTGGGCTTTCTGGAGGAGCAGCAAGTATGCCTAATTACTGAGCACTCTCTTTAGTGCTTGTTTGTGTTTGAGAGGAGGTCTCATGTCTCTGAGCTGTGTAGCTGGGGGTGACACTGGGCTCTTCCTCTGTTCTCCACCTCCTGGGTGCCTGGATCACAGACAAGTGCTTCCACATCTGGCTTATATAAACAGTGATAGAAACAGAGCCCAGGGCTTCAAGCCTGCAAGGTGAACCTTTACCAACCGAGCTACACCTCAGGCCCAACATTCTGTTTTTATTTGTTTGATCTACTAATTACGACACTAATTAGTGAAGGACCGTCCTCAGATCGTCTGGGGCCTAGCTATCACTCTAATTCTCCCTCTCTGGTCACTCATCTGCCCTCAGCACAGTGCACAATACACCAAGTTACGTGAATACTCACCTGTGTTGTAGGCAGTGGGCATGGAGGAGAAGGGGAGGCCCTGGCTGAGTAAACTTGGTGTTGCCACGGAAACCACTGGGGTTGTGAGCGAGTGGGTAGACTGGGAGACCCCAAGGCGCTGGGCATTGTTCTGTAGGAGAAAACTCTCTGTCAAGAGATGGCAAATGGGTGGGCTGCCTCAAAGTGGTCATCCATACTACCTCTGAGCTAGGTCCCTGAATTCCAAGGAAAGCGCCACAGCAGGGAGTACCCAATGCACACACACAAACACTAGTAGGTGTTCGGAGGCCTGAAGACTCAGAGAGAAACATGCACACACATATTCACTTGTATCTGCATGCATGGAGACAGCTCAGAGCTCAGTGTGAACACTGCTCTGGCACCTAGGTGGAGGGACAGGGGAGGAGCTGTCATCTCTCTTGGGCTAAGACCACTGAAGTCTCCTCTACACGTTAGGGCAGGAGCGGCCCCAGGAGGTGCATCCAGCACCTGGGAATGAAATGTGGGATCTGGGGTGGCATGTGACGGCATGCATGCACACACGTGTGTAGGGCTGTCGGCTCCATCTGCTGCTGAGTCATTTGTTTATTCCAACGCCACACTGGGGCCGAAACTGCCGCTGTGTTGGCCGCCAAAGCCTGCTTGCCTCTTCCAGCCTTTCTGGCCTTTTGTCAGCAAGCTGGGAAGGAAGCACCCTCCTCTTTCCTGGCTGATGGTGAGTATGTAAGCATGGCGGTGGGGGCTGTGCATGTCTCTAAGTGCCTGTGGAATGGGCTCAGGGTAGGAGTTAGTCAACAGGCAGGCAGGGAAGGCCTTGCTAAGGACAACTCCAGTCATGCCTCAGGCCTCAGCTTCCCCTGGAAAACTGACCTTCCTAGATTTTTCTCGTAAGGATGAGGTTCATGTCTTGGGTTCCAATGGTGTGTGGGCCTGTATGGCACCAGGAAGCCAGTGGAAACCAAGGACTTCTTAACTTAGGCATCTGACTCTTCTCCAGATGCACACACATACACGTCTGAATAAATGTGGCAACACATAGACACCCATGCACACGCAGTTACACATGCATGCCATGTCAGCCCTTCCCCCTGCCCCATTCACCTTAGTATCCCACTAGGCTCTAAACACAGCTCCTGACAAACAACCAATAACTAAACTCCACACATTAAACACACAAGGAGAAGACTGGCACACATAGTCATGCTGCAGACTGAGTAACATGGGGCAAAGCTGGAACTCAAAGGCACTGCTAACATCTGCGCCGCACTTACCAGATCTAAATGGTCCTCAGTCTGGGAGCAGAAATAAAACCAAGAGGATGGTTCAGGCTTTGGTTCCTGCCCTTCCCACATGGCCACCCATCCACCTGTCTGCTTGAGAGCAAAGTAATCTCTCTGGCCCAAAAGGAAATCCAGATATTCTGACCATATGATAGAGAATGCTGTATCCTGGCCTCCATCAGCCAGACATCATCAGCCAGTCCTTATTCTTATGGTGCAGTATTAATTCCTTTATTATCTTCTCCATCACAAAACCTTTTCTCCTGTCCCCTGTTCATTTCTACTGCCTTCTGGCCAGCACTGCTGCTGTCCAAAGGCCCTCGGGGAAGAAACAGTTCACAAAAAGCCATGTTCTCTCTCTCTCTCTCTCTCTCTTGCTCTCAAGAAGTCCTACCTGCTACTAACCTTCATTTCTCTTGCTACAGGCCATTCTTCCCACCTCCCAGCCCCTGCTATGAGCCAGAAACCCACTCACCAAATGATGCATTAACCCTTTGCCTCCCTGGGAAGTGATGACCCGCAGATCAGGCTTGCGGCTGGGGGCTCCAAGCTGTGTGTTGTGGGTGGGTGGGGGTGGAGACTTGGCAGGGATGACTTTGTTTAGGCTGTTGCCATTGGCCACAGGGAGGAGGCCAGGGGAAGCTCGGGCACTGACGTAGCCATTCCCTAGAGAAGTGATATGAGAAAGGAAAATTGCTGGCCTGCCTTTTGACCCTACCAACTGCCCAGATAAGCGTACCTGTCACCTAGGGCTCTCAGAGGCATACCAGGGTTCCACATGGACAATGAGCTGCCTGATAGCCTTGGTTCCCAATCACTTGGCCAAAAGTCAGGCTCTAAGCCACAGTAACAGGGCCAGGGGTAGAACCACTGTCACTGCCAGCCCTGCGCACCCCATGCCTGGCACTCGACCCCTCCCCCACTGCTTCATACAGGATGTACAATGACTGGAGGGGAAAAGGTAGCAGGCTGTGATCTGGGCCTCATTTAGGAGTCTGATCACCACAGTCAGCCAAACATTTAGATTGTTCCCTTGTCAGGATCTGGAACTCTGTGCTTTTGATCAGCACAGACAAGCTGCTTGCTACCATGAGGGGGACAGGCCACTGACTGCTGGTAGTGTTGCCGGCACCGGGGCTAAGGATATGGTCACTTTTGTTACTAGACTGTAGATAAAAGCATCACAACTATCTTTTACACTGAGTGTCATGTTATCTCATACATGTTCATGCCAGCCCTGAGAGGTACATGGGATGGGCGTTATCCCCTGAGCACAGAAGAGGAAACATGGCACTAGGTAAGAGAGGATGATGGCTTGTCCGTGGCCACGTAGGCCATCTTACTGAGTCTCCAATGCTGGGCTACAGGGCCCACAATAAAGCCTGGAAAAAAAGGGTATACCTCTAGTCCAAAATGCCACGACTCTAATGCTAAGGTGCGCTCACACCCACCCACCTTACAAGGACTGATGGTGACAGGACAGGAAAGGCTGAAACAGAGCTGGAGAGCCTGAGATTCAGGAATGTAGGTGATGACTGTAGTTAGAAATTCTACCTTACTGTCTCCTAAGAGTACATGGTTACCCTCAAAATGTGCTGCTGTCTCTACCCAACTCCAAGAACACTCTGGGAGTGGCAAGAATGACAGGACGATGTCAAGGGTGACATTAGAAAGCCAGACACCAGCACAGATCAAGAGTGGCTAGCTTCTTGTGGACACAGGGGCAGTGGTAGTTTATGACTACGGCGTACATACCTACAGGTACACGTCTGTACGGTGACTCCATGGGAGCACAGAAGTCTGTGTGCACGGGTGGTGTACGAATGCCTATGCTTTTCTAGGTGAGCCCTGATCCAAACAAGATACACTATTTTAAGCTAAAAATGTCGGACCATGGCCAGGCGTGGTGGCACATGCCTTTAATCCCAACACTCAGAAAAGGCGGGTGAATTCTGAGTTTGAGGTCATTTTAGTGTACATAGCAAGTTCCACGCCAGCCAGGGTTACCCAGTGAGAACTGTCTCAAAAAGAGAAAGAGAAAGAAAGGAAAGAAAGGAAGGAAGGAAAGAAAGAGAGAGAGAAAGAAGGAAAACACCACCAGACCTTCCCGAAAGAAAGAAAGAAAGAAAGAAAGAAAGAAAGAAAGAAGGAAGGAAAATGCCACCAGACCTTCCCGAAAGAAAAAGAAAGAAAGAAAGAAAGAAGGAAGGAAAATGCCACCAGACCTTCCCGAAAGAAAAAGAAAGAAAGAAAGAAAGAAAGAAAGAAAGAAGGAAAACGCCACTAGACCTTCCCTGAATTCAGTAGCACTATGGGTCCATCTTTATTATGCCTGACATTCTTTAGAGCCAAACTTCTGCTGACTAGTCGCTGCTATAGCACCAAAGTCCAGGAGCCTAAAAATCCTCTGATGTACCCTGCTTTTGGCCCTGCCATTTCCCTCCCCTTTCCTTTAGGTCGCTCTCCTGAGCCACCCTGTGGAAGGCAGCGACACTCACCAACAGGGCTGGGGCAGGCTCCATTAGCACTGTTGAGGTCTCCACCCAGCATGGCCCCTGGGAGAAAAGCAGAGCTTTATCTTGGGGACTGGACAAGAAGGGGCTCTAAGGAGTCCTAGGCCTTTCCCCTCAAGAGTCACACACATGCAGGAGTGCTGCAAAGGGAAGACCCACCATTGGAAATGGAAGCCCAGAGCTCCTTCCACACCTCACTCCCACCTCATCGATTCACCCTCTAGCCTACTTACCTGCACTAGCAGGCCGCTGGGGCAGGCCTGGAGAAACACTGTTTCTCTGTAGTGCTGGCTGCTGAGGGGACAGGAGCCTCGGGTCCGTAAGGGATGATGTCACCAGGGAAGGAGTGACCAGAGAGCCACTAGGATTGCTGAACTGCATGGAGTTCTGGTTGGACACGGGCACTGTGACAGGCATGGCAAAGTTGGGGGCCGGAACAGATGACTAGACAGAGAGACGGAGGGTAGCGTCACACCAGGTGACTGTCTCCCCCTGGACCCACTTTGCCTGAGAGGGTAGGCACAAGGGTTCTCTGGTTCCCAGACTGTATCTCCAAAGCCAACAGCTTACGCTCCCTGCCTTCAGCCCTTCTGCAGCCCTGCCTACCTCCCATCAGAAAGGTGAGAGCACCTTGCAATACAGCTCTAACCCAAAGCAGAAGGGCAAGGCTCTACCTACTGCAGAGGAACTGGGTACCCCCAGCGGAGGTGGGTTAGTCCTCAGCCAGGCGGGACACACCGGGAGCAAGTTAGTGCCCTGGGTACAAACCCAAACTCACACCCTGCTGAGGACACTTCGCTAAGTGGCCACCCACCTTCTACCTGCTTCAAGCCCACCTGTCTGCCTTCCTATTAGTGGTTCTGCTTCCTTTACATGAGCCCACGGGAGCCTCCTCCCAAAATAAGGAGACAAAGAACACATTCCTCTCCCTTGCCCTCTAGAGACTCATGGCATCTATATTTTCTGCTGGTGAGGGGACGTTACAGGTCTCTCTAGCTTATGCAAGAAGGACTTTACAAGAGGGTTATCAAGACCAAGGTCAGGAGTTCCTCAGTGGTCAGTACCAGCTCACGGATGGCTCAGCTTAGTCCATCCATCAGAGGCAGCCGAGGGCCGGGCAAGGCTGGGTGAAGCCACACCATGCAGCACAGGAGGCTCTCCTCCATGCGACTACTCACGGCCAGTCTATAACTCTGCATCATCTTATCAAACTCCTCGTCTATCTTTTTATACTTCTCCTCCGTCTGGGGGGTCAGGGCAAACGCCTCGTCCACCTCGGGGCTCTCACACTCCCTGTGTTTCTTGTGCAGCGCCTGGGGGAGGGGCCGGAAGGGGGGCCAGAGAAAAAGTGAGGAGGGCTCACCCCATAGCGCCTGAAGAGCCCATCCAGCTCCTCACTGGCCCGCCGGTACTTGTCCTCCAGCAGGGGGCTCTGCTCCAGTGAGTCCTCCCCATCCGGCTCTGGGCTGTCACAGCCGTTGAAACCCTTCTTCCTCAGGGTCTGCAACCGCACCACTCAGTCAACCAGCCAGCAAAGGTCCTCCTGCCTCCTCCAAGCTCCTCCCAAGGATCCCCTGCTATTCTCCAACCTTCTCTCCCATGGTTCCCAGAATCTCAGGTTCCCCCCCCTCAGCCATCCGCCCCCTCTGTAATATGTTCCCTTGGGACCCTGAGTGAAGCAGAACCTAAGCTACCAGGCCTAGGGCAGGTATGCTCCACAGCTCAGTCTAAAGAGAAGGTGTGCTTGAGAGTGGGGGCTCTGCCCATTCAAACGCTAGGTTCCACTTAGTGGAGAAATTGAATAGAGACAGGAGAGGATAATACAGGGAAGCACAAAGGACCTGTACCTACTGAGCTTTTGAACCTTGCTCATGACCTTCAGGTGTACTTGTGGTCACTCAAAAGTTTAAAGATACTTGCTTCATGTTTTTAATCAAATCACATGTTTATTTCCACGTGTGTCAGGGCACGCACACATGTACATACCATAGCACGTGAGTGCATGTCAAAGAACAACCTACAGGAGTTGGTTCTCTTCCGTCCACCCGGGACCCTGCGAATTAAACTCGGGTCGTCAGGCTTGGCATGAAGTGCTTTTACCTGGTAAGCCATTTCGCCTGCTTTTGCTTCATTTTATTTTCATTTTATTTACTTGTTTTTTTTCCTAGACAGGGTTTCATTGTGTAGCCCAGGCTATCCGGGAACTCCGTAGACCAGGCTGGCCTTGAACTAAGAGATACTGGGTTTAAAAGTGTGTGCCACCACCGTCCAGCTTATTTTTATTTTTTAAACTTTATCTCATGTGTATGTGTGTTTTGCCTGTACATATGTGCGCTACATGAGTGCCTGGTGCCCGTGGGGTCAGAAAAGGGTAGAGCCTTGGAACTGGAGTTACAGGCAGCCATGAGCTGCCATGTAGGTGCTGGGACTCGAACCCAGGTCCATTCCAAGAGCAGCCAGTGTTCTATTCTGTTCCCCAAGTTGGCACCCTAGAGTGAGAAGCATAAGCTGGGCAGTCTTACTGCTCACAGAACAACCCTTTAAGCCACCATCACTCCATGTGTGGAGGAACTACATCCCAGAGAAGCCAGACTACCTGCCTAAGGTCATGGCCAGAAAAGGCCAGAGAGGAATCCCAAAGCTCATGTCCTTCAACATTTCACATTTTGACTCTGAAACAGAAGACAAGAGCCACACAGACTCACAAAGAACAGGACAGAAAGGAGAAATAGGAATAAAGAGGGAGACACAAAAAGGAATATGTCGGAGAACGAATAAAGGAGGAACTAAAAAAGAGAGCAAAGATAGCAGGATGTTCCTCAGACCCAGCAGAACAAAGACTGCTCAAGGGGAGCTGAGCCCTCATGCTCCTGTCTCGTGCCTTTGCTGCCATGCCCCTCCTCCCTTGGGGCCTGGGTTCAGAAGAGACTGGTTTACACAGTGGCAGAGGCGGGCGCAGGCGCACCTCAATGATGTCAGCATTGGTGCGGCTCTCATGAGGCTCGTTGTACTCTGTGTACTTGAGCAGCACCTTGTCCATGTCGGTGCTGGCATACTGAAACAGCTTGTTGGAGTGGTTGAAGATGATGAGCGCAATCTCACAGTCGCACAGCACACTCAGCTCATAAGCCTTCTTCATCAGCCCAAACTTCCGCTTGGTGAATGTCACCTGCAGGAGAGTAGTGGGTGGCCAGGTATGACAAGAGTGTCCCTCCCATAGACACCTGGACATAGCCCTACCCTAGAGTTCTATTCTCAGGGTGACTCAGCCACAGCCCATGGAAATCCATGCTCTAGAAAAGTACAAAACAGTACCCCTTGGTCAGACCACAGCCAAGATACACCAGAGCCAGCCTCGGACAGAAAGGACTTGAAGTGGCCAGGAGGTCACAGCTCTGTGCAGTGGGCTGAAAAAGAGCAGCCTAACTCCCAGCTGAGGAGAAGGCCTGCTGGGAGGAGGGGGCTGGGGGAATAGCAATGGTGTCGGGCCCTGGCCTGTCTCAGGCCAGCAGAGCAAAAGAGGCCCACAAAGTGCTCCTCTCTCCACTCAGACCCACCCTCTGTTGCAACTTCCAGTGAGTCCCCGGCCTTCCAAGAAAGCTCTCCTCCAGAACTGGTCATGGGTGACAGAAGCTGGCTCCCTGCCCTTGCTCACCTACCACGTGGGGCTCTGGGACCTCCTCACCTGGCGGTTCCGCTCATCAGTGATTCGCTGGATCTGAATCTTTTTCCTTCCCATCTTCTCCGGGGTCCTTAGTGCCAGAGAGAAAGGGGCTGCTGGGTGGTCAGGAGCCTCACACTGTGCTCATGAATGTCTGGGACTAGGGTTCAGTTCATGGTCTGCAGAACACCTATGCACAGCCTCCTGGGAGGGGAGGGTCATAAGAGGACTGTTAGACTCCCCCCACCCTGCCTTGTTGCTTGGTATGTGGGCCAGGCTCATTAGAGCCTGTGTGAGAGACTGGGAGCATCTCTGCCCCATCCCCAAATTGAGGCAACATTGCCTATAAAGGAAATGCCCACCCCAACCCCAGACTAGGTGCAAGTTGGGCTCCCACAGGACCAGGACTTGTCTAGGCCGATTCCCAAGTCACTGCTGTCCTTGGGCTTTAGGTCACACAGAAGATATAGGGCACTTGGCTTCTGAGGGTCTGCTTCTCAGAAAGCACCCACACCCTATTCTCTGTAGTCTGTGTCTGTACTATGTGTTGTATTCCACCACCACCCCTGCCCACCACCCCCACCTGGACCAGTGGCGCCTACTATGCTGGAAACATGGTGAGAGCATGCGTGCACAGACTGCAGCAGAAGGCAGAAAGAGGATGCCCAGTGCTAATAAGGGTGCTGACATCCCTTCAGGTTGGCAGCAGGGTCCTTACATGGACTCACAGAACCTGGGGATGGTGGAGGCTGGAGTTGGAGAACACCCACCCCAATCAGAGCTTGCGCACACCAGGGTGCCCCATTCACCCGGCCCCAGCAGTTTTATTTGAAGGGTGTTCTGCTGCTTCGACACTAACAGTTAGTTTAGGCCAGAGGGCAACAAATCTATTTTCCCAAACCCCTCAGCTCACATGGGGTCTGAACCCAGTGGTCCTGCACATGCCTAGAAGGAGCTCTGCCTAGCTGCAACCTCAACCCCCATTTTTATTTCATAAGCTAAAGTCTTGTTAAGTTTTCCAGGCTGGCCTTAAATTTGTGATCCTCCTGCTTCAACCTCCTGAGAAGTTATAATGACAGGCATATACCACAAAGTCTGGCTTTTTTTCTCTGGTAACTGTAATGCCAGGTATGAAACCTAGAGTTTCACACTCCTTAGGTAAATTCCATCACAGAACTTATCCTGATCCAGGCCAGTATCTCTGTAAAGGGCTAGAGAGCCAGCATTGCAGGCTCCATAACCTGTAGCACTGCTTAGCTCTGCTGTGGCAGGCAGTCTAGTTGACAAAGACTACGGGGATGTGGTGTGTAGTAGCTCATGCCTTTAATCCCAGCTCCCGGGAGGCAGAGGCAAGCATCAGTAAGTTGAGGACAGCCTGGTCTATATATAGTGAGACACCTTCCTTGAAAAACAATAACAGAAAAACTCCATAAAAATAATGAATGAATGAATGAATGAATGAATGAATGAATGAATGAATGAGGCAGGAGATACGCAAAGAGGGTGTACTAGAGGACCAAAGAGATGGCTCAGCCTTTAATTAAGAGCCCTTGCTGGTCTTGTAGAGGACCTGGGTTGTTCCCAGCAGCCATTTGGAGAATTACAAATGTCTGTTAGCTCCAGGTCCAGGGGTCATTTTCTGGTTTCCACAGGCTGTGCACATACTTGGTGAACAGACACAAGGCAAGGAGGCAAGAGGTTCCTCAGCAACAGCTGGGTGCCAATGGCTGCTGAGCGAAACTGTGCCTTTCTAGTCCATTCCACAAGACCTGAAGGTTACAGAGTAGATGAAGTACATCACTGGGCACCTATGATGGAGCTGGGGAGGGAAGGTCAGGACCTGCTTAGGACCATCACAGATCATAGGACTGTCTCTCAAGCTTCTAACTTCCACTCGGCCTCTACAGAGACTATCCCAGCTTCTCTGGGTGCATGTAGGTAAGGGTATCAAAAGAGGGAACCAGCATCCTCTTCCCTTAGCCTGATTCTTGAGAGATCCACAGTGCCTGGCCTTCTACTGTCTCCGCCCCACATCCCAGACCAGCAGCAACAGAGAGCCCTGTGTGGCCCAACACACATTTGCGCAAACCAGCACTGGTCATCTCTCTTAGCCTATGACCCTAACCCTGCCCAACTCTATACAGAGGCTCCAGCCACAACTTCTAGGCTTTAACCCTAACTCTCAGAGCCATCCACAAACCGCCTCGTTGATGGGCTAGGGAGATGGAAAGGACACTGGGACCAGGACTATGATAAACTGGCTTTTGTTTTTGTTTGTTTTTCGAGATAGGGTTTCTCTGTGTAGCCTTGGCTCTTCTGGACTCACTTTGTAGACCAGGCTGGCTTCATAGAGATCCGCCTGCCTCTGCCTCCCGGAGTTCTGGGATCACAGGGGTGCACCACCTCGTCCAGCTGTGGGTTGGCTTTTTTAGGTGGGTTTTTCTGGCTCAGCCTCAGGAACTCCAATCTAGATTCACAGTGCAGGGTCTCCTGCCCCACCCCTACCAGCCATGTGGCGGATTCCTTCTTGTCCTTTCTTGTCTCCTGCTCACCACCTTCAATCCATGAGCAGATTCTTTTGTTTCTTTTTGAGACAGGGCTCTCTGTGCAGCCCTGGCTGTCCTCGAACTCACAGAGCTCTGCCTGCCTCTGCCTTTGAGTGCTGGGATCACAGGGATGCACTCTCACCACCCAGACCATGAACATGTAAGGACCTCTCACCTGCTATGGCCAGTGCCGTCTCCTCAGGCAGGTTGAAGTGAACTGTCTCAGTGTTTTCAGTTTTCCAAAAATGCTAATCCAACACTCTTTCTAGCAGTACCATCTCTAAACAATTGTGCTTCTCTTCTGTGCCTGGTTCCCCCAACGCTGGAGCTTCATGAAGGCAGGAACCAGATCTGTCTTTTTACTACGTTATTACCCACAGGAAAAGAGCCCAGGAAATACCTATGCGAAGAAAATATTATGAGCCTGTGAGAAGTCCTTCCTGTAGTCTAATCTCTATCTGTACTGCTGTTCTCACTGTCCTCTGTGAAGCTAGAACCTCCTACCAGCTACCCTCAGAGGCCTATCAGTTCAGATACCACCAACTCTCCAACCAACTCTACCGCCCTCACCCTCAGCCCTCCCTACACTCAGCTTTGGCTGGTGCAGAGGGTGAGGCTCTAAGTCTTCTAAGGAGCAGCCCTGAGCACATGGAGATGGAGGATGGGGTTGCTTAGGCAACTGTCGCCTGGCAACCAGCTCCCTGGCTGATCTCCTACACTGCCCCCCCCATCCCTGCTGCTGGGGGAGCTAGGATATGAGAGAGATCATGGCTGAGAAGGGAGGGAAGCCAGAGAGACCCAGTGAGTATCCTTTAACAGAGGGAACCTGTCTAGGAGGTCAGGCCCCAGCAACCCTGACTCCCTCTATACCAGCTCAGCCATTTATAACCCCATGCTTCCCAGGGTCTTGCTCACTGCTGCTCTTCCTCTGCCAGAATTGCCCTGCCAGCCTACAGCAGACAGACCCTGCCTTTGGAGGTCCTTCCTCCTAGCTAACCACAGCTCTCTTACAAAGCAGGCTCTGTCCCCTCTCCTGTCCATCCCACACTGCTTCAGATTCTTTGGAAGCCCTGGGGTCAAGAATATGAACTCAAAAGAGAGAAAGAGAGAGAGAATATGAACTCAAAATTGATTCTGGAAGAATGGTGTCTGGGCAGAGATGGTCGCAAAGGACCTTCGACTGACCCAGTCAAGGTGTGGAGCCTGTCCTGACCAAACTTCCCTACTCTAGTGGGGTTTTAATGAGCACCTGACCCTGCTTAATTAGTCCTCTATTCAACAACCTTAACTGCCAGGAGCCAGGCCCAGGCATCACGCTCCAAATGCAGATTCTGCTCTCCTGACCCAGGCAGCACTCCTTTCTCCTGCCCTGGCCTTTCAGCTGTTCCTCTTCTTTTTTAGTTTGTTTGTTTTGTTTTTTCAAGACAGGATTTTTCTGTGTATCCCTGGCTGTCCTGGACTTTGTAGACCAGGCTGGCCTCAAACTCAAGAGACCCACCTGCCTCTGCCTCCTCAGTACCAGGATTAACAGTGTGTACCAGCTGGGCTACTGCTGCTCTAAGCCTAGTCTTCATGAAGCCTTGGGCAGTCATGCTGAGGTGCCAGGCCCCAGGGACCTTCTCATGCAGACCTCATACCACATCTGTATCACAGCAATGCCCCTCAGTAGGCTCTAGCTGGGCAGGGTGGTGTTCCCAGCAGGCTGTGACAACAGTGGCAGAAAGAAGCAAGCACTGACTGGTGGGTCTTTGGGGAAGCCAACAGCAGGGTGGTAGTGGGGCCAGAAAAGCCTAGGATCTAGGATCCCACGGTAACTGTGCACTGTTTATACATAAGAGGGACAAGTGAAAAGCAAGGGTGTGCTGCTTTGGAGGATCTTGGGAGAGTATGGCCTTGTCTCCCTAATGTCACACCTGAACCATAGTCAAACCACTCGGGTTTCAGAATTAGGCTTAGTTCCTGTGTGAAGGGTCTGAGTGGGGATGGGAGTGAGGTCAAGCCTGGTTCCCGTAACACTGCTGAAGGGCCAGGCAGGAATATCCTTTCCCAGCAGTCTCCTTCCTCCATCTGCTCTTCAGCAATGCACCCCCACTTTCTGCTCCCTGAGTAACGTGTCCTGATAACCTGAGGCTCTAAAAAGCTGCATGCATCTGACTCTGGAGTCCTATACCAGCAGGCTCCAACAGAGCACAGGCCAGAAAAGCCAAGCACTGGGCCTTGAAGGGAGCAGGAGACAAGAAGGAAACTGCTCTCATTAGGCGCTTCTCCTCCCTTCCAGGCCGCTGGGGGGCCTCAGGCTGGAAGTCAGGCTACACTGAAGACAGCTGTCACCTCCTCCACCCTCTCCCCGGTAGGGCTGCAGGGCATGAAATAAGCAGCAGGCGCTGGGGGAGGGGGGCGACAATCCAATCCACCTGTCACCCCCACAGTCGGGCAGACTACTTGCTAGTGGGAGGAGGCGTGGGCAAGGTGGGGACAGATGCACAGACACAGGAAGGAGACAGAAAGGGGCCAGTGAGTAGAAGGCATGAGGCTAGAAAAGCGGCTGGGCTGGGTAGCCCAGGGGCGCCCCAGCAGCCTGCCTTGGGGGCACATTTCAGACCCTCTTCTCTCTTCCCCATCCCAAGATGCCTCTATTCTCCAAAGGGTTCCATTAGCATCCAAAAGCACAGAGACAAGCCGTCTAAATTCTGTCAGGCCGACTACCTAAAACCCTCGTTCCCACCAGGTCCCACCATCCCCTCCCCCCCAGCCAGCAGCCTGGGGCTAGGCTGGGGCTATTTTTAGCCTGGGCAGTGAGCTAATTTTAACTCACCAACAGGGGACCTGAGGGCGGGCTAGGGGCAGTCCAGGAAAGCAGGCTAGCGCAGGGTGGTCTTAGGCACAGTGGCCGGTAAAAGCAGAAACTGGCATGAAGGGTACCCAGGAGGGCTGGGAGCCCTCCCCTAGCTTCCACTGGGCAATTCCCTCATAGTCCACCCTCGGCTTCCTCCCTCTCCAGTGTAGCAAACCTCCTGGGGAAGTGCCATACTGTTTTCTCCATGAGGGGCTGTCACCTGCCCCATTCCCAGGCCTTCCTGAAGGGCACCTCTCCTTCCTCCTGCAGCAGCGGAATCCTGGATGCTCCCATGTCTCCTCTCACCAAGCCACTCCCACCCACAAGAAAGGCTCTAGAGCCACCCGCTGGGCCTTAGGAACTAGGGGCTACAGGAGACTACATCCTGGTAAGGACCGAGGTCAGGCAGTGAAGGAGGAAAGAGCTTGCAGGGTCTGGGTTGGGCCTGTACTGAGCTCATGCTGTGTGCCCACATCAAGAAACTAGCTTCACCACTGGCATAACAAAAGGGTAGAATGGTAAGGTCCCCTCCCCTGTCTCTGAGGGCCCTTCAACCCCACTATTCTGCTCCTGGACTCCCTTGGGGGAAAGGTCAGCCATGTAGTTCCAGGGAGAGTGCCAGTCTAGTCTAGAAGTACTGAGGAGAGGTGCTGTGAAGGCCAGAGGGGAGCAGACATGGAGCCTGCCTGGGATGTGTTTTTCTGAACTGTCACCTCTAGCAGATAAGGGAGAGTTGGCTTTGGGCCACCCTGTTGGGGCCAGTGCCAGGTAGAGCACGGGAGGGTCCTGGTGACATCTGTAGCTATCAAGGTCCCCTCAAACACTTATGAGACCCAGTTTGGGGCCTCCAAGAGTCCTGGCCCAAGGTCACTGTCAGCAGTGTGGCCCAATTTTGAAGCCCAAGCTTGTGCTTTACTTTAGCTCTGCCTAAAAGGCCAAGTAGCTATGACTCACTGCTGCTCATTTGCATGGTGATTTGCATAGTGTCTCCACCCTTATTCCTCCAAATCCAACTTCCCACTGCAGAGCATGGGCCACCCCTATCCAGCACCCTGAGGCATTCAGGGCCTCAGAACTAGTTCCATCTTCTCTGCCAGAAAGCAACCCTCAGATGCACAAACAGCCCAGAGATGTAGCTCAAAGCTCCCATCCCTCGGGACCTTCACTCCTGTCCAGGAAAAGGGACAGAGAGGCTCAGTCCAGCTAAAGTCTCAGGTTGGGACAGCAGCAGCAGGCTGCTTCTGTCTTTCCACCACTGTGCAAGAGAACAGTACAGTGGTCATGAGCTGCATGCTGCGTTACAGAGAGGACTTTGAAGACTGGGTCCTACACTCAGAGCAGACTTTGGGGCTCAAGCTCAACTTGTCAGAAGCTAACCAACCAAGATGGACAGCTGGGGACACATAGGAGTCACTAAGGTGCTTCCTCCTACCAAGGATGCTGGCCGACAACCAGCCCCTTGAATACCTTAACCTCCATCTGTCCAGTTACAGCACCTACACATTAGTCACACCCTCTCAACTGAGGCCCAGTGGACTACTCTGGGAAGTCCTTTCTGGTATCTAACTACCACCCTTTTCTCATAGCTAATCAAGCCGTGGCAATCTAAGCCCAATTCAGTTATCTACACAAGAATAGTGTATGGAACCTTGGCCATTAGAAGCCTTAGTTGAGAAGAGGTGGGGACAGTTGGGACCGTTAGTGTGTCACCTTCCACCTCCCTACCCTACTTCCCCCTGGGGTCTCAGGAGACAGAAGTGAAAGTTGCAGCTGGGGCCCTGAGGACAGATCTTGATAGCCTTGTTGGAATGGTGGTGCTGGTGCTGGTTTGGGGCTGCCTGCTATTGAAACAACTGGATGCTAGCTAGATGAGTGGAGGGACCTCCCATGGAAATGAGAACAGTAGAGAGCCACAGAGCAGGCTGCAGAATCTCGAAAAAGCTCTCCTCCAGGGCACCACTCTTTGTCCAGGAACAGACCAAGCACTAAGATCTAAATGCTGGGCTTCTGGCATGGGGGAAAATGTGAGGCAGTGCACAGACTGAAGGGCCACACACACTCAGCCAGGACAGGCCAAAAAGAGGCCAATCCAATCAGGGAAGGCAAATCCTCCTGGTCTTGTGACCTCAAGGAGCACCAAGGGTTTAAAGGGGCCTTGGGCTGTGGCTGGGTCTCTAAGCCACAGGCAGAAGGTGGCAAGGTGGCTCTTACAGGGATTATCTTACTGCTTTCAGGGAAGATACCGATGAGGATCGGTGCCTAGCCTGATGGGTCCTGAGCACCCTTGGGAAAACACACTCAAATCAAATTCACTGTTTCATCAGAACACAGTGGAGACTCCTCTGACAGTCAAGACTGCTGTCTGTCTGTGCCATGGCCTAGACGGTTCCTTCCTCTGAGGGGAAGATCTCAGGGGCTTTTACAGGCAAGGCCCACCCCTGGGAACAGGTGAAGACTTTCGACTTAGCTTCCCACTCCCAATTGCAGGCTGACAGGTGGGGGAGAAGAGCCGTAACAGCTGGGCCAGGACACCTGTTCCCACCCCATGCCTGGCCCAGGGCCTGCCACGGGGACCATACAAGGAGAGTCTGCCAAGAGGCAGGCAGGTGTGGGGGAAAGAGAGGGGTCCAGATGTCAAGGGGAGAGACAGAGCAAGAAGCACTCTCTTCAGGATGCACCACCCTCACCCATGGTACATGCCAGAGAAGGGAAACCACCAGGCCCAAGGTCAGCCCTCTAGCCCCTTGCTCACAGGCCCTGCTTCACATTTCATCTATAGGAACACAAAGAACTCTAAAAAGAGGCTCTTCCTCTTGCCATATGCCCCTACCCCCACCCCATTGAACCTCTTGTCTTAGTTTTTATTCTCCCCAACTTCAAACCCAGTCTAGGGGAGGAGGTACACTAGGAATAGCAAAGGACAGGTTTTGAGGACAGGAGGCAGCTGGCTTGGCATGGGAAGGAGATCAGCTCTGTTTCCCATGCCACCCCAGGGTCTGGTGGTTCCTTCAAAGCCTTGTCAAGTCCTTATGGCCACACCCTAGGTCCTGGCTGAAGGTCCTGAGGGAGGGTGCAGCTGTGACTTTCTACTGAACCCACTTCCTCTAGGAAAGGCAGGGGTCTGGGAGGAAGATAAGGTTGCCCTGACCCTGTGCTGCCTTCAATTCCTTTCCTGTCTCCTCACACAGCAGTTCCAGGGGCTTTTGTGTATTGCTGACTCCAGCTGCAGATCTTTGCTTTGGGGCCTCTTCCACTGATGGGGAAATCTGAATTACTGTCTCAGAAGTCAGAACAATGGACCCTCAAACTTGCACCATGGTCAAGAGGCCTAGAGCCTCCCTCTTGCTCCTGCAAACAGATGCCTTCTTTTTCTCCCCTCCCTCTATGTAGCCCTGGCTATCCTGGAACTCACTCGGAGGACCAGGCCAGCCTCGAACTCAGAGACCCATCTGTGTCTGCCTCCCAAATACTGGGATCAAAGGCATGTGCCACCACCGCCTCCTAGACAAGAGCCCTCAACCCCTTACAATGAACTTTCCGGAATAAACCTTAGTCTTTCAGCCTCAGTTTCCCCAATACGGAAGACCAGTAGCAGACAGAACTGTGCCCAGCGTAGGATTTTTACAGACAACAAATGCCACCCCCACTCCCTTCATCCAGTTCTGAGGATCTCAAAAATTCTCATTTTTGTCTCTGAACCATGTACCCTGTTAAACTGGGTGTGCATGGGTGATGCCAGAGGGACAGGCAGCACACGCCTTCCCTGTGGCATGTTGTCTGCCCAATGCTGGGGGAGTGGCCCCAGAACAGCCAGGGGCACCACGCCAAGGTCAGTGACCAAGCCTAGAGCTCAGGGCCTCCTGGGAGGGTAAGTTTAAATGAGTAAATATGGTCCCGCCTGGGTGTGGCTTGCCACAGGCCAGAGCTTAAGGCAGGTCACTCCCTCCAGTAGCTTCCACAGAAGGGGCGGTCAGCCAGGCAACCCCCTCAACCCATGCCATACTCTGTCATTGGCAACGGGAGTAGGTGTGGCATGTGTCCTTGGCCTGGACAAAAGAAAGGTAGATACAAAGTGTTTTGGGGACCTCCTAAACCAAGAATTTGCCTCTGAAAGCAGTGAAGTGGCCTCACTATGGAAGACGAGGGGGGAGGCAGAGATCAGCAAGGACCATCAAATACACAGATGCCTATGCCACCCAAAGGGAAACTACTGAAAAGCTGGCTGAGCTGGGGGAAGAACAACTTACCCAGGGACTCCGAGCAGGGTGGAGGAGCAGTGGCTGGCCAGGGGACAGAGCAGCAAGGGAGGGTGGAAGTCAGCCAGAGCTCCCTGACTCACAAAGCATGCTCTCCACAGACAGGCCCTGCCTGCCCATCTGTGTGTGCTCTGACCTCAGTCTTGCTCCAGCCCAGGCTCTCCGGGTTCTGTGCGCCTTTAGCCTTTCTGCCTCTGCTCCCTCACCACCCCCGACTCTCCAATCCTTTAATCATCTTTACCACTGCGGCCCCCACCCCCCTCTGTGCAACAGCTGCTCTGTGGGTGTCACACCCCCAAGGGTGCACTGCACACCTTCCCATGTCCCATGACCTGCTGCAGCTTGCCAGGTGCAGCTGGGCCTGCTGGAGACCCTCACCCTGCTTTCTGGAGAAAGGGGCTCAGAGGCCAGCCTTCCCACAGCTCCAGCTCCCACAACTCCTCAGAATATGTTTTGTCCTAGGCAGGGAGAGACAAGAAAATATTCCAGGAGCCAAACAGGCTCTACTAGGCCAAAGGTCAAAGCCTTTTTAGCAGAGTCTCTGGAGAATGCCTGAGATTCCCCTCTTTTTCCTGGCCACGTTAAAAGCTATCTTTTTCCTAACCTAGCTTCAGTGGGAAGTTCTGCTGCCCAAGCTCCATCCAGCCTTCTCTTGACTGTGTAGAGGGGAATGTCAGATGTCTGCTTCTAGAACACAGCTCCTAGCACCCTCTCCCCAATGAGTAAGTCACCAAACTGGGACAGAAGGACAGAGAGGGTAGGCTGGACTCTGGCCCCATTACTACCTCATAAAAGCCACCAGTGATTACAGCGATGCGGAGGCTGTGCAGCATGCGACCATTCCTCCTTCCCGCTTCCCTGTAAAGGGAGATAATTTTCTTAGGCCAATTGGCTTCAAAGAACCTACAAAGGCCAGCCATGGTCCCAAGGGTTAGGGAGAGCCCACAGACCCACAGCCCTAGTTGTGACACTTGCCAATGGGCTCTGGGCCTGCTCCAGATCATCAGCCCCCTTAGGGAGCCTGAACAATACCAACTGTACTTGTGATCCACAGCGTCCCCCTTGCCTGCAGCTCTTCTCCTGTAGGCCACACTGTCTAAGCAGTAGGCAGAGAAGTGGAGGCAACAGAGAAAAGCCTGCCTACCCACTCAACCCCAGTGTAGGCGGCAAAATGTCCAACAAGGACCTGTGCCAGGCCAGGGCCAACCATCAAAGATAGGGGACTCAGTTGGCACGAAGACAAAGCTGGGAAGGTGGACAGAGGTCCAGGCCAAGGACATAAGGACCAAGGATGCTGCAGCAGAGGCCCCTTTCCAGAGCAGGGTCAGAGTGGGGCCTCAGTGAACCTAACCCCATCCCCTGGCCCAGCTCCCAACCTGGACGGTCTCCTTCTACCTTTCCCTTCATACCAGAAAAAGGAAAAAAAAAAAAAAAACCTGCTGGAGAGAGATTATATAACGGCAGCCAGCCAGCCTGTCACATCGCCCAGCCGATGAGGAGCACTAGAAGCCAAAGGGCCAGAGCAGGGAGCAGGCCCTCCAGGCACATAGCTCCACAAGGACGGGGGATGGGCAGCCCACACCTGCATTCTGTCCAAGTCCCCCACACCCTGTTCCAGGCTTAGCAGAGGCAGCACAAGCCCCGTCCCATCCCCCAGCAGAAGGCTTCCCATACTTTCTGGCTGGGTCCTGTTTCTTCTCTAGGCTCATGCCTGCAAGAGCAAGGCTTGTATGTCTTCATTTTTAACCTTAAGGGTCTCTTCCTGCATGAAATCTGTGTCAGAAAGAGGGGAAGACTAAACTCTGATACAAATTTGCTGTGTGATCGAAGGTAAAATGCCCTACCATTCTGGTAGGTATGGGAATCAATGAAAGCTCCTGCCTCCCTAGCAAGCCTTTTTACAAAAGTACATGTAGCAAGCACACACAGGGTATGTGTGAGGGGCACAGGAGTCACAACAAAGAACATGACCACTGAGACCCTAAAGCCCCAGCGTCCATTTCTGGGATAAAGAGGAAAAGTGCTCTATAGAAGCTCCAGAACTCCCCAACCACCCCACTAACAAGGTTCTCAACCACTCCCACAATCATCGCACCCCACCCCCATCCTGGAAGACGCAGGAAGGAAATTCATTCACAGGCAAGGCCATGGGAGCTGGGACAGCCAGGCTGAACACTGGGGCTTGGTGGCCAGAGGCCAGAAGCTGGGTGTCTGGGTATACACTGACAGATAGCTCGCCAATGCTCCCCTCCGCGGATACCTCCGCTAGGACTGTGAGGGGAACAGAAGGTGGACAGCTCCCAAGGCCGAGTGCACTCAATAGGCTCCCCTCCGAGAATGGGCCAGAGCAGCCCAAGGTCATCTTCCCAGACGGCAAACTTCCCACAGTCAGGCAGCTCAGACCCACTGAGGGCTAGGGGGAGGGGGAAGATCCGCCGCTCACTCAGCCAAGCAGCTAGGCCTCCGAGGGAAACTCACTCGCCGGAGAGCAGGGTACCGGATCTACCCACTGCACTCCCCTAGCCTGGCCCCACTGCGCCCGTCAGTCACGGGCAGAGCTGGCACTCGGGACAAGCTGCGTGGTCCAGGGCCACTGGGAAGCCCGAGGGCTCAGTGGAGTCTTTAGAAGGCCTCCCTGCCCCATCTATGCTGTGGGAGACCGGGAGCACCGTAGTCCCTCGGGCCAGCCTCACCACTGGAACCCCACTGGCGCCGGCTCGGCCCGCACCGACCCACGGAGGCCTGGAGAGGTCCTGCCAGATGTTAAGAGCTGCAAACTCCTGGCCAGGGGTTCTCCAGCTGGCGTCGCTGACACACCCGACCCGGGGCCCCACGGGCGCAAGATCGCGGCCGTAGCCACGTGCGTTGCGCTCGCCAAGACCCGAAGCGGCGGGGGCTCTAGTGCCAGGAGCGGCTGTCACAGCAGATGCCCCGGCACCGCCGCCGCCGCTGTCGCCCCGCCGGGCCCGGGACGCTCGTGCCAGGGCGCCCGAGCACCCCTCGCGCTCCAGACCACCCTGCGCCCGGCCGTGCGGCGTGGGGGAGGGGTTCTTAAAGGGGCCGGCGCGCGTCGCGACTCACCAGCCCGCGGGGGAACGGGGTGTCACGGCGCCGAGAGCCTCGGCCCGGCCCGCGGGATCCTCGGTTGCGCGAAGCCGCAGCTCCGGCGGGGAACAGCGAAGGCGCCGCGTTCTCGCGGCCTGGGCGGCGCCGCAGGGCCCGGAACCCCCGGCGCGCGTGGGGGCGGCGGCAGCGGGCGGCGGGGACGCGGCCGAGCGCCCAAGCCGCCTCGACGGTTGTTGATATTTTGCTTCCTTCCTCCTTTCGAGCTCCAAAGGCAACTCCTCCAGCCCCAGACTCGAGGTCGACGTAGGCACCGCGCAGCCTAGCTTGCGGGATGGGAGGAGGGGGAGGCGAGCGTGACGGACAGGCGGGGGGGCCAATGGGAGGGCCCTGCAGGGCAGGGGCGGGCCCGTCAGGGCGGCCTGGAACGCGGCCCCGCCCCCTGCCCTCGGCCCGCGCCCCACCCCGCCGGGGCGCGCGACCGCGGCGCGTGGAGCCCGGATCCCTCCGCCTGCGGGACGGAGCGGTGCCGTGGGGACCTCAGCGCCCCGGCCCCAGAGTTGTCAAGGGTCTAACCAGATAAGTTCTGGGGAGAAGACGGCGCTGGGAGGCCCCAGCTCCTACACTTACTGTGTGACAAAGCTCCGACGCCAGATCGCGTTCTCTCCTCGGGGTTACCTGGGGAGCTCCGCGGCTCCCTCTACCTGTGACAGGTCCCCTCCTTTCCCTTGACCCGGCTCGGTTGACGCCCAGACACTTAAAGCGACAGCGCATAATTCTCGGGTGACCTAATCTTCAGCGCCTGCGGCTGCAGCGCACTTAACTACCGAGGGGACAATTTAAAGGGGCGGGACCCCAACCCTGGATGTTTCTTCACGGGAAACATCCAGAAGCCTCATCTTGAAGATAAAGTAACTCTCCTAAAAAAAAATCCCTGGAGGCCTCTGGGCGTGGTGAATTTTTAAGTGCTTCACAACAGGATTGTACGTACTATTGCTTCTGGACACTGACCCATCAGACTTCCTGTCCAGCGTCCTGTCACTTCCAAGTCCTCCACTGGCTCTACCTGGAGCTTGAGGAAATGATAGAGTGTGGCGTGGACTTAAAAGCCTTGCAGAACAGAGGCAAGAGGCTCTTCACCAGCTAGGGTCTGGTTTAGCCAACAAATCTCTGTTCTGACTTCGTGTGGGAAAGACTAGGAGAAGGGGACAAGGGACGGGTTAAATTCGATGCCGGAGTCAGACTGTTTTGATTAAAATCCTTCTACTATTTATGAAGCGGGCAAAGCACGATTTTAACTCTCCATCTTCTTGGGTAAGATGAAGGTGCTGAGGACAGTACCTAACTTGTGAATTTGGCGTGAGCTTGGTTCCCAGTAGACTAGTACAGCTTCTCATGTTTCACTGTATAATCCATGGGCCGCTCAGCTGAAAATGAGCCCTTTCAGGCCCCAGGTGAGTCCAAACAAGGCTCATAAGGGACAAGTTCAATAGGACTGTTCTGCAAAGAGCTTGGAGGCATATATGTACCTTCTTAAACAGGAAGCTAGCAGGCTCCTATTCCTTTGGCCTCCCTTTTGAACCCTTCCACTTGGTCCCTCCTTCCAGAAGCCTGGCTTATACGGAATCACACATGGTCCCCAAATGTTGCAGCTTTAGTCTCCCTAGTAGTATGGGGTGGGGGTGGAGCGCCCAGCAAGAGATGCCAGTACTCCTGAGCAGGCTGGATTGCCCCCAAGACTTGAAGGAGGGCATCTGTCCTTGCCCAAGCACTTGGAGAACACAGCCTTGTTCGGGCTTGAGGCTATGGTGGGAGCAGGATGGGAAAGTGCCCTCCCAGTGAGGCACCTCCCCTCACTTGTGGCCTCTATTTTTAGTGCTTCCCCAGGCTCTAGTTGGAGAAACCGTTTAGTCATCAGGGTGTTTATTTTCCGGCTGTTTCCGATGTCGGGAAAAGCAGAATGTTGAGACTGGAGAGATCCAGGGCTGCTGTAAAAGACTTCTTAGGCACAGGCCTGGGAATATAGCCTTCAGACCATTGGGTCCCAGCTCAGAAAAACAAAACAGGATGGGCCGGGACAGCTAAGCCCTCAAGGAGTTTTCAACCTGCCTCAACCTTGGAAGCTATCCAAACTGGAGAACCCTCTGGCCCAACTCTATTCGAAGATTGTTTCTCAAAACACAACCAAGCCCAGAAGAAATTCTTTCCCAGAATCCCTCTCCCCAATCTCTCCTAGATCAGCTCGGTGAGCCTCCCGCCAACCACAAGCCTAGCCAATCTCAAACCTGAGGCGGGCCTTCCAGAGCTATGATTGGCTGGCTGGGCCTTCTAGACCTGGAATGTTGAATCCTTAACAAAGGAATGAGGAAGGAAGGTGAGTCACCTGGGGAAGGCATTAAAGGATTAGCTCTTCCTTCTGGAAGAGCTCCAGGGAGGTAGGGGCCCTGGATGCTTACGTGATAACTTGACAAGAGAAAGAGAGAGAAAAAACATTTACAAGAGGAATAGAATTCAGACTCTGAAAACAGCACACTGGGAGAGGAGAAAAAAAGGTAACAATCTTGAGGTCTTGATTTCTATGGACGACTGAAAAGGGCCAGACAAAGTTGGAAGTTGGATGAAAATTAGACTTCCTCAAAGTAACTCTGAGCTCTTTTCTTCTGGCCCCTGGATTTCTCATCCCAGAATCCTCTGGAGTGGCAAATGGCTGATTCTCACAGTTCCCCTCCTACTTCTGAGTGTACACCCATCTCTTACTAATCAATGTGTTGTGTCAGTGAGCGTTCCATGCTGCATGTTTAGAGGTCAAACGACAATTCTGTGGAGTCTGTCTTCCGTCGTTCCATGGCTTTTGGGCTCAGTTGCCAGGCTTGCTTGGCAAGCACTTTACTGGCTGAGCCGTCTCGCCATCTCCCAGCCATCTGTTCTAAAGACAAGTCACCTTTTCAGTCCTGCTGTAAAATCCCCCGTGGCCTCTCGAAACGCTTAGATGCCCACCGACGTCTAAAAAGAATACCCTGTGAACTCATCTGCAGCGTCATCTTCACAAGCCTCTCTGGCAAACAAAACTGAACTCTCGTTTATCCGCCCCTTCTCGGGCTTCTCCAGTTCACCTGTGCTTGGAAAGGTCTTTCCCGCAGACCCGCACCCCTCTTCTACCTGGCGGTCCCACCTCAACCTAGGGAAAGTGCCCCTGCGGTCCTCTCTACTGTGGAGAGCGCCTGGCAGGCCCTCCACATCTCACCTTCCCTTCCCCTGCGCCATCTGGACAGTTCTCAATCCCCACCTCCACCCGCAGCTCAGCCACCGAGCTCTTTCTTCCTCCTGCAGTTTTTGGAGGATCACAGCATAAGCCCCCCGGTCGCTCCCGAATCTGCCACCATGCCGGCGAACCGAACCGGACCCTCAGCCGGTGGGCGCCTATATCCTCAGCGCGACGGTGGGACGCTTCAACTCTGCCCGTCTCCTCAAGATGCACTAGCTTTCCTAAAGTACTCTCCTCACCAGCTCCCGAGTTCCTGCGAGGATGCAGAGCTGGCGTGGAACGCGCTTAGCAAACGTATTCGCGCAGCCGTGTGAGTCAGAATTGAGCACACTGTGCTCAACCTCATTTCTGCATAGAGAACCACGGCAGCCAAGGACAGGGGTCGAGTCTGGGATCCTACAACTCCACTTCAGGCCAGAGTTGGGGTGAGGGATAGCAGAGTCGAACAGAAACCTGTCAAGGTCCGTGTGGCACAGTGGTGTCCTACGCTTAGAACCAGGGTGCCTGGGACCAGACGTGGGGGAGACAGCTGAGGTCCCCGGAGCTGAGGGGCAGGGAGAGGTGCCAGAGCGGGTCCCGGGTCCGTGTGCCCCCACAGGAGCTCCCTGCCCCCGGTTGGGCAGGATGTGGTGGCAGCTGCAGTTGGGTGGGCAGGATGTGGGGGTGGGGCAGACGAGCGCAGCCCGACTGTAGTCTCCCCCGTGCTCCCGCCTCCACCCCCTCCGGGTCACATGCTCTCCGCTTGGGCACCGACGGACTATTTCCCATTTTCCGCGGAAGGACATCGCAAGCCCGTCGCCACGGAATGAAGTTGTATCACGCCATTTTCTGGATCCCAGACCCAGCCTAGGGCAGAAAGTTTCCCCAGGACACACTTCGGTGAAGCGCGCATTAACTCGGGAGAGGCCCCTTTAAATGCAAATGAACCGCCTTCTTGCTCCGCTCCCTCCCCCCAACCCCCCATACCAACTTCTCTCCTCGTGCCCAAACTCCACCAGCTGCTATTGACGTCAAGCGTGCGTTAGCATCGCCAGCCCAACCAGACAGCACGTGGGGGGAAGAAGGCACTCTTAAAGGGCCAGCAGCTCCGGGCCTGTCGGCTACCCGGAGAGGAAAAGCGAAGTGGGAGGCTGGAAACTGTTGCAGCAGGAGGAATTGCAGGGGAGACCTTCAGAAGGACCGCGTCAGGCCGGCCAAGTGGCTCAGCGGATAAAGTTGCTTCTGTGCAAGCCCGAGAATCCACTCCCCAGAGTTATCCTCTGACCTTCGTACACGTCATTTCTCCCGCCCCCCCCCGCCTCGCACACGTACAATACTGATATTAAAAAGGCAAAAACTTCGCAGAGTAGGAGAAAATATTCCCTTCCTTCCACCCCCCACCCCCCCAAGACAGGGTTTTTCTGTGCAGCCCTGGGTGTCCTGGAACTCACTTTGTAGAGCAGGCTGGGATTAAAGGCGTGCACCGCCACCACTGTGCATTTTTTATTCTTTTTTTTAAATTTTACTTTCTATTGTGAGTATGGAGATCAGAGGACAACTTTAAGTAGTCTGCTCTCTCTTTCCACTTTGTGAGTTCTAGGATTTGAACTCAGATCATTGGGGGATTTGGGGCCACAAGGATCTTTACAGGGAGGAGGACTGTGGAGACAGGATTTCTCTGTGTAGCCTTGGCTGTCCTGGAACTCACTCTGTAGACTAGGCTGGCCTCGAACTCAGATCCACCTGTGTCTGCCTTCCAAGTGCCAATGGCCCCTCTTTAATCCCCTTTCTCCCCCCTCCCCATTCCTTCTTTCCCTCCAGGGCTTGAACCTAGGGCCTCACACATGCTAAGCCCACACTCTACCACTGAGCTACATGCCCCAGCTCAAAAGGCTGAATCCTAAACCAGGCTTTCCCTTTAGATTCCCCAGACTTTGGGGTTTGTTATCTGGTAAAGAAACCCAGGAGCTGAAGCAGGCTGAGCCTAAAAACAAAGGAAGCCTGAGTTCTAGCCTGGGGAAGTATTAGCAGAGGCAGGTGGATCTCTGACTTCCAGGCCAGCTAGGTCTACGTAGTGAGTTCCAGAACAGACAAATGAACAAACAAAAAGGTCCACTGAAATTGCCCTGACTGGTCTGGGGACTCATGGAAACCCCCCTGCCTCTGCCTCAGAGTGCTGGCTTTAAAGTGTATGCCACCACACCCAGCTGAGCTCTTTTTTTTTTTTTTTAATTACATTATTTACTGTGTGTGTGTGTGTGTGTGTGTGTGTGTGTCAGAGGACACAACCTGTGAGGGTGCAAACTCAGGTCATGAGACCTGATTGCAAATGCTTGTTACCCAGGAAGCCATCTCACACAACCACCTTTAAAAAGTATTACTGTTAGTGTGTGTGCATATACACTACAGTGCAGGTCTGAAAACCGGAGTTCAGGTCACCAAGCTTGCCAGCCCTTTGTGAATGCTTGGAGCAAACAGGTGCAGAGAATGGAGGAATTTTCAGTCTTTCTCTGGACAGAACC